TAGTACTTACTTGATATTCATTTATTTATTTATTTCAAATGGCAGGCGTTTTGATAGCTATCATTAGCCATTTAGCTGACTTCGGGCTTCACAGAGGGAAGGTTCACCAAAGTAGCAGAAAGTCGAGGGGTGGGGAACAGAAGAGCGATTCATAGATGTAAAAGAGGCAGACGGACACAAAAGCAGAGAAAAGGTAAGATGAGTACTGTGGAAGGGGTCTAATATGACATACCGTGGGGTCATGGTAGTTTAAAGTCAGATGTCAATTGCCGGTTAATAGACGCTTTTTGCCGTATGAGTATACTTTGTCCAGGGTGCACCACGTGGAGGTAAGTCTATCGCACATCCCACTTACTTGATATAAATAAGCGTCAAGGATTAAGGCGTCAAATCTCTCTTTTCTCTCTCCATTTTGAACTTAACTGAGTCTTTTCTAACCAAAATTGACTTTCGCTTGATCTTACTTCCCTAGTAGCCAAAGTCATTATGCAGTATGTCAATTCTATACGTATCGACCGAAAAATACCATTTTGAAAGTTAACCTGAATTAATAAAAAACTTACGGAACAACATTTTTAGGTTTTAAAAATATAATTGTAACCTATTTAATCAGTACTCTCAAATCTACTTCAATCTAATTAATACTCCTGCGTGTCACATAGGTCCTTTATCCGTTGAAAGTAGTTTTTTAAACAGAAATGACATTTTCCATTAACAAACCACTTCATTCCTTTAGCAAAGCAATTTTAGAAATAATACTTTAAATGCAATTATTAGAACTCGAAGTTACAATAAACTCTATTTTGGGGTGGAGGATATATAGAGAAGCTTCTAAGTGTCAAAGAATTTTACTTAATTTGATTTTTTTCGGAATTGAGTGGTACACTAATTACTGGATGGGCAGTTCACACTCCAGAATTCAGATTTCACAGTCTGTGCCCAGAATTGCAAAAATTGGGTGTCCTCGCTTCTCAAGGCACCCTGATCGATAATCATCCAACCAAAGCGGGGTCGGTCTTGACACTTCGGTTAATTGATTTTTTGTATACAAGAATTAGGGATGCGAATGGCCTTTGTGTGTTTCTTCGCAGTTTTCATTTTTAATATAACAGCGACGATTTAGATAAAATTTTAAATTAACAGAGCTCCGACATCACGCCATTATGTTCTTATTACAGGGTTGTTTTACTCCTTAATTATCATATTTAAAAGCAATGAAAATTAGG